AGTATTTTGAACTTAATAATGTTTTTAACTGTTAAACAAAATATCTCCACTGGAATCATGTAATTTGATACTTTTCCCACACCCCCTCGGGCGCTAAATTTTGGACGAGGCACGTGACCAGCCCATACCAGGATATTTCCTAAATACCCTGGGAACGAGGTTGAACATGAACCTGTCGTTGTTAGGAGCAACTGATTTTGCCAAAGCCAAAAGCCAGGCACAAAAGTTTTTATTCCAAATCTTCTCTGCTACCATATTCATGAAAAAAGCATGTACATTTTTCCTGAAACTATACGTCTTTTTGTGTGTTTCTTGCCATTTTTCTCGAGTTTTCGTATTCGTGTTTTATAGTTTCAACTTTTCAATTTTTGTGATTTTGTCAGCCTCGCTTTGAAAATACACAACTGCACTAATCTCAAATTAGTTCGCATGCAACACTGGAATTCTAATGACTTTAACTTTTACATCTGATAAAAAATAAACACGTTATTTACCGGCAGCGTCGGTCCGGATGAGAAAAACTGTGCCCTCCGGGTCTTGAAAACGTCCCTCGCCCTTCGGGCTCGGGCCGTTTGCAAGACCTCGGGCACAGTTTTTCTCATCCGGACCTCGCAGCCGGTAAATAAATATATATATATCGTGGGACAATTCCATTTTGCCTTCATATTGTGCCCTAAAGGCTAATAAGTACGTTTCTGTATGTTGATCGCGTTAAAATTTCTTGTGGGCTCCTGCCGACACGTTTTTCTTCGAATTTTGTATTAAACTCTATTACAGTTAAAAAATGTGAAATTTCTGATACATTTCTAATACAAATGACTTACATCGTTTGAAAGCGTGCAAAAAACTACATATAAGACATTTAAACGGTTACCCGGGATTTTCAAGTTCTTCTTTAGTTATGAGCTGTTGAATGCGTGTTTTCAAACTCGTACCCAGGAATTTTGGGAGATTTTGGCTTATATTTCACATTTAAAACAGCAATAACTCGAAAACCGTTTGAAAATCCCAACTAACCATTTAAATGTCTTCAATGTAGTTTTTCGTCAGCTTTCTATTGATGCTAGTCATTTGTATTAGAAATGTATCAGAAATTTCACATTTTTTAACTGTAATAGAGTTTAATACAAAATTCGAAGAAAAACGTGTCGGCAGGAGCGGAGGAGCCCACAAGAAACTTTAACGCGGCCAACATAGAGAAACGTACTTACTAGTCTTCAGGGCACAATATGAAGGCAAAATGGAATTGTCCCACGATATAGTAAGTTTCCCATAATTTTGAGTCTCTATCTGCCTGACTAAGTTCGTTTAAACACTAGGCAGAGGACCCTTATACTGGACCATAGGTTGGAAAATGTAAAACTGATATGGAACAACCCAGTATACACAAAACTGTTCCACTTTAGTTCAAAAGTATAGTTTATTCAGTACATTTGATCACACACACCCCTTGGAACGAATTGATTTATCTTCTACCAATTTATTACATAGTAACCTAGTAAATTACCCTAACTAATAACGCTACATGTTTTAAACAACTTGTAGTGTAAACACACAGTTTTACCACATAATCCGCTCATTATACGTTCATGCAGGCAAATTAAAACAATTGAATTAAGTAAAGCTAAGTAAAACTACACAGTCAGAACGCAAAATACATCAAGTCCAACCAACCAACAATCACCATCAAGGAAAGAGTAAACTTGACACCAGTTGCACTGCCGACGGTGTAATTGTTGCAATTATCGGTACTACAACATTTATAAATACACGCTTTCAGATTGTATCGTGTGGTTACATTGCTACAAAACTCTTCAGGGTCGGCGCACTGAGCCATGATTGTGACACATCTTCTATCAATAACGTCTGTGCCATTATCGTAAGTAGCAAATCCGGTGGAACAATAACCGGATGGACAGTCGACTGTGCCACTACCAGTACATGTTTGTTGTTCTTTTGGCTGTGATGTCCAGTATTCACACTGATTGCATTTCCGAGCACTCCCTAAAACAAACAAAAAAAAGAAATGGTGTAGACATTGCAAGTTGTCTTGTCATACCCCTAGTATCTAGACTGAAAAGTTTTATTTTGCGCAGGAAACATTTTATCCTAAGGAAAGTTGCGCAGAAATGTCAGATATTTTCGCAGAAAATTTACTGATGGCAGAACAGACAATTCTGCAGTCATTCAGAAAGTTCTTTCTTAAAGAGGAGGAACAGAAATCTGCTTGGTTCTTGGTTCACAAAAGCATTTTGTGCAGATTCTTCAGAAAGTATTTGCAGTTATTTACTATGTGAAAAATTTCGCGCACTGATTTCCATTGTTGCAAGAATTTTTGCGCCAGAAATTAATTTACCAATGCCTATACAGTCTTGCCCAGCAGTGCAACTGGTGTCATGCGTTGTCTGTGTCAGTTTTAAACTGTTTTATATCTAGAGATCCGGCAAGGGTCATCTCACTGGCCTGAACACTAGAACTGGATGGAATAATACCTTTTACATTCACTCAGCCAATTTTAAAGTCAAAATATTTATAATGTGATGAGATGAAATTTGAATGTCTATCAAAATCTGTGCAAATCTATTATCAAGCAATTACATTATCCCATGTAACTTGAAAGATATTGCTTCCCACATCTTTTCAGATAACTGCAATCGTGGAAATAATATCCGTAGACCTTTTTAAAACGTATCTTGTCTTACTATTTTGTAAAGTCATTATATTTTTAGTTAATACAAACGTCCAACCATTCACTAGAAATAGTAACTCCCCCTCCCCCTACCACAATGTTGGTTTAAAACATGGTTATTGCACCGCAAACCAACATTGTAAACGGGGAGGGGGGGGGAGGGATTGGGAAATTTTTGAAAAGTCTACAAATTAATTTCCAGGAGTGTGCGGCATATTGCTGGCAAGGAACATTATCAGGCATTGCAATTCAATAACTGCAAATTTGTAAATTTTCTTACCCAAAGCTGAGATAGCCAACACAACTCCCAAAGCGAGTAAAATTTTGCTGAACATACTGCGATCTTTTCCAAAACTAAATCAAAGACAAAAACAAATTGATTAAAGTAATTTAGAAAAAACTAGGGAGGTGGATAGTGCTTTTCACGCAATTTGATTGGATGCTCAGTTGAGATTAGACTTGCGACAAGTCGACCATGGGGGAAGGAGGGCGCGGGGTGGGAGCGCGGGGGAGGGAGCGCGCGGGGGAGGGAGCGCGCGGGGGAGGGAGCGCGCGACCCGACCGACGAAGTCGCGAGTGGTCGACTTGTGTCGCTTGCAGGAATTTAATTCGCATTAAAATTTTTAGCGCGAATACTTTTGACATATTAAACGGGTGTGTACATGCGCATTTCATACAATTACTTCACCGCGCCGACAATGGGTCTACAAAAACAAAAACATTCTCTAGACTAGAACTGATATTTCTTGGTCGTCGAATGAAACAGTTCGCACCAAGTGCGGAAACGAAATAACTGACCCAAGTTAAGTAAGCGCCGAAAGCTGTTCAATGTATGAACAAAAACAAGTGCATGTAAGAACTTATTGAAGCTTCACAGTTGTTTGTCTATTTAAACAATTTGTGCCGTAATTATGTTGACAAGAATAGTCTGACTCAGTTTGCGAGCGATTTGATTAACGTAGCGAGTAGAAGTTAATCTATAAACTGAAAAGAATCAGACAACTGTAACCAAGAAGCAGAGAGGCGGCAATTGTGATCAAATTAGAAGACGTCGCTAGAGTTCGAAATCCAGTAAAAATACGCGTTGTTTTCTCAGCAAACGAATTTATAATAATCAGTAATCGACATCAAGAAACCCAAACTAAACCCGGAACTAGTGAGGAAATTTTAGAATCATCAGATGCATCTTCGGTGGCAGTATTAAAGTTTATTTCTACACTCTGTACTTTATACTCAATGTAATGTCTGTTTGTGTATTTTTACATGGTTTTTGTGTTCTACAAAATTGTAATTAAATTGTTTACTCTGTTTGCTTCAATAATACACATTTGTTCAACAAAGAGCCTGAGAATATAATATTATTGTTAGACTCCTTCGATAATGACCGATAATGTATAAACCGCTTCGGCCTTCAATGTTAACAATGACGTCACCGGTGGATTTTTCCACCGGTGATATTTGGCGCGCTGCTAGGGGCAAAAGTCCTTTCCACAGAGGAAGTGAAGCGCGCCATAGAAGGGCCTGGATAGGACTTTGGAAAGTCTAAGTTGAGATGTGCAAATCCCGATCCGACACCAATCCGATTCATTCGGATTTAGGCGCCATAATATTCACTTCGGATCGGTTGGATTGGAAAAGGATTTTCTTAGTCGGATCGGACTTCAATTACCAGAGCTACTGCGAAAACTAGCGGCGCTTCCGTTTAATAATTTTTCCATTTATTTATTCCAAATCAAATTGTCTATTGTCTAACCCTATTTGTAAAGAATAAAGGATCTGAGTTCTTTTGACGCGAGAGATTGCGAATCTGCTTCGCGAGATTGCGAATCCGTTTCTGAATCAACTTCTGCAAAGACTAGAGAGTAGAATCTTGAAATTAAAAATGTGACATTGATATACATGCATTTATACAATTGATTGGAAAGTTTATTTTATCGGATCGGATACGGATTTCAAAAAAAAATTCCCAATGTATGATTCCAGCTATAGACTAAATTTTGATCAAGGCAAGAACGAAATCCAACACCACAGCTAGAAAGAGCGTATTAGAATGAGTAAAACTGCAAAGACTGGTTGCTAACTATGTTGTGAAATGAAGAAAATATAGCCCTGTGAAGTTCGCAAATTTTGTATATATTTGTATTACGCGTGGTAAAGGCTCAAGAATGGTTATTTTCCCGCGCGTAACGCAAATATACACAAAATTTGTACGTGTTTATTTCATAATATAACCCTGTTTCACAGGGCTATATTTTCTTCATTTTACAACAATTCGCAACGGAACTTTGCAATTTTACTAATTTTAAGATGCTTTTTCCAGCTATGGTAATGGATTTCGTTCTTATTGTCTGGATCAAAATCTCATCTATAGCTGCGGAATCCAGGGGCGAAACTAGCCCCTTTTAATTCGGGGTGGGTGTCTGCCAGAATTGCCTTGCGAAAACCGATGATGCCCTGCAGCAATTTTTTACTTCTGGCCACTATTTTTCCCAAAAACGTTGGCGAGCGGCGCGGGGGGTTGAAAAAATGTTTTCCGGACATTAAAAAAAAGGTCGAAAAATTTTTCCGGACATAACCAGTTAAATTAAGGGTGAAAAATTTTTTCCGTACAAATTCCTGTTAAAACATGGCTGAAACCCTTATTTTTGGACCAATATCTGCAAAATTTAGGGCTATAACTTCTATTCAATTCCCTCCGTGAAAGCCCTGTAAGTTATTTAATAACTCTACATTCTATCATTTAAAATCTTTGATTGCCCTACCAATCCAGATCATTCGCCCTGCCAATCCTGATGATTCGTATTTTGGGGGTGTCACAGCCCCCCCCCCCACCCCCATACCCCCCTCAAGTTTCGCCCCTGGCGGGACCATCTATTGTCGGATTGTAAACCTCCAATCCCATCCGTGCACACCTCTATTGTCCAGTTCCAGATCAATATCTTTGCAC